CATTGATGTTATGCACGTCGAGAAGAATGTCTCTGATGCTATCATATCTATTATGATGCAAAATTCGAAGTCAAAAGATGGTGTCAAATCAAGAAAGGATCTTGAAGATATGGGGATTCGCAGCAACTTACATGTTCAGCTAAAAGGGAAGAGAACATACTTACCCCATGCTGCGTATTGGCTGAAGAAAGATGAAAAAGAAGATTTTGCAAGAGATTAAGTCTATTTAGAGGACCTGATGGATATTCTGCGAACATTGCAAGTTGTGTCTCTGTGGAACCACCCACAATTGGGGGTTTGAAGTCTCACGATCATCACGTGCTTCTGCAAAACCTTCTACCAGTGGCGTTGAGAGGCTTACTCCCAGATGGTCCTAGGATTGCAGTTACAAGGCTGTGCAACTTCTTTAACAGACTTTGTCAGCGAGTTCTTGACTCTGAAAAGCTAATATCTTTGGAGAATGAGCTTGTAGAGACAATGTGCCAAATGGAGAGGTATTTTCCACCAGCTTTGTTCGACATAATGTTTCACCTTCCCCTGCATCTGGCAAGAGAGGCACGTCTGGGTGGTCCAGTACATTTTAGATGGATGTATCCATTTGAAAGGTACTAAATATGAACTTAGTATTCTGGTGTTATATTTTTATGTTTGTATCATTGACTCTATAACTGATTAAATGCTTGAATTGCAGGTACATGAAGACTCTTAAAGCATTTGTAAAGAACTATGCAAGGCCAGAAGCTTGTATGGCTGAAGGATACTTAGCTGGAGAATGTTAGCATTCTGCTTGGAGTTTCTACAGAATTCTGTACCGGTTCAAGAGAAAATAAACCGCAATGAAGATGTTCAGACAAATGATCTAATTCTTGAGGGCCGGCCATTGCAGAAGGCTACTCAAGTTACTCTGACTGATAAAGATCGAGACATAGCACATCGATATGTGTTGATGAACATGGCAGTGATAAATCCATATGTTGAGTAAGTTCAGACATTGTTTTTATTGATTCTTTTTGTTTATTTGTTTTGATATAAACTTGTATCATGTTATCGTTTACAGGATGCACT